TGGACTCACTGGGAGAAGTGAAGAATCCACTCTGCAGCTCTCTGGTTCTCTTCAGAGTTCTGCTGCTAAAACAAAAACTATCAGAAGCGTTTGGATGATGAGGCGGACGCTTATGGCTCTGAATTTGGTTATCGTTGATGCCGCTGGACATTATCCTAACATAGTCTATGAGAGAGATTGATTTTTCATTTTGGTATTTCCTGCTGCTAACTGTTAGATATTGTTTGTAAGGGACCAAACTTTTTTGTTATGATTCCATTTTCAGCAGCTGGAGGTGTGCTTTCCATCATTGGTTTGGCATTAATTCCTGTAACAGCTGGAGTGTCTCTAGCTCTGACAATGACTGGGGTGGGGATGGGAATTACCAGCGGAGTCAACAGTGCGGTCACCACTGAGTGACCACAAAATCCATCTCTCATTCACAAAATATCTCCCTCTTTAAATGACTCTTTCATTTTCAGTCCGTCTCTCGCCGTCTGCTTTCAGTTTCTCAATGATGTCGGAAATAACAGCCCTCACTTTTTTCTCATTCTTTTATTTCCCGTCTACTTGCGTTGGTCCCCTCTCTTTCTTTCTTTCCTTCTTTTTTTATCTTTCTTTCTCGTGGATGAAGGAATGTTTCCTTCTCCGTCTCATTCCTTCACTCTTTCCGCCCGAGGCTTGGGACAGATGTGGAGGCCTTCCTTTCCCAGCATTCCCTTGGGGGAGTGGGGACAGGTCTTAACACCCTTTTTGGAGAAGGGAGATGGGGGAGGGCAGTTTGTTGTCCGAAAGGTCACGTATTGGGAGTCAAGTGATGCATAAGTAATGCTTTGTTTGGACTGATCTGGGGGAAGGAATTTACTGGATTTGCCTGTAATTGGGTTATTTTCCTTTGAAATGGCTCGTGAAACAAAGATTGAGGAGGTGAAAAGGGTCAATGCATCATGGGAACTATTATAACAGTCGGTGAAATTAAACATCGTAATTTAAAATGATGCCTTAATCAGCACAATACTATAAAAATAAATTATAGAAGTATAAAACCTGAATCTATTCATCTGATTTCAACTATACAGTTAAAAATGAAGGTGTGAACACATCAAACGATGCATGCAAGAAATCAGGTTACTCAGAGAAATCAAGTACAGTAGTACGCAGGAAATAAGACACTCTCTAGGTCAGTAATCTGATAGATGATAGAAGATACTACATCCTGTTTTAATCATTTTTTACCAGCCAAGACTGCATGTGGCTGGTTATTGATTTCATTTTCAAAAACGTCTGACGTTATACAAGCAACGGAATCAAAGTCGTACAGGCTACTGGCTGCAGAGTAGCCGCTGGGTTGGTGTTGCACTCAGCTGTGTTATCATTAGCGGCCCCTACTGGCTGGGTTCCGCTTACGAGTGGTGAGTGAGGAGTCAGCAGGCAGTCAATGGCAGTATGAAACAGGCAATAAAAGGTGTTTTGAGAATGTGTGAGTCAGAATGTGAGATTGGGTGTGGACAGACACAGAGGTGCACACTCACTCAGTCATTACACACAGGACCGAACACATAAACTTACGCCTGGCGGAGATAAAAAGCCGCCAGAGGCGGCTAAATCTCGCTCTGTCTGATGAGTCTACATCCAGTGATGCTTCAAGCTAAAAGCTAGCATCAGCATGCTAACATGCTCACATGACGATGTTTGCATGCTGATGTTAAGCAAGTATAATGATTACCATGTTCACCATGCTAGTTTAGCGTGGCAGCATGCTAACATTTACTAAGCACTACAGCTGAGACTGAGGGGAATGTCAGTTTGGCAGGTAGTTGGTCATAAACCGGTATTGGACAAATTTAAACAGCTCGGTAACGAACAGAGCTTACGGAAATAAGCAGCCTAATAAATAAGCCTGAAGGCGGGGGAGAGTAACTTGAACACCGGTCGAAAATGGCAGCAAAGTATGTTTAACGTATTTGTAAGAATTTAGAATTTATGTGTTAAGTTAGCTAACTTTGTGTTGCTAATAGCCAATTAAGTCAATGTTATATCATTACGGTCCAGCGGCGTTGTAATTTATTGCCTTGCCTACTTTTCTGTTCAGCTCTCTCGCTGCTTTGATGGTGTCTGCTTAATAAAGTGCACGGAAAACAAATCACATTTTGGCATGACTTGATTTTTTCTTTGGGGAGAAACTTTGCAAAGAGTGTGTTTGCGTGAATGCTGAGCAGAAAAGGAAAATCTAGAGATCACATGTGACATGTTGTCCGTGCCAAAGACAGTCTGCATACAGTCAATGTATCAATCAGGAGTATCAAGGTCTAACCAGGATCTTAAAACATGTGCCTTTACTGTTCAGCCTGCTGGTTATCCTCTCCTTCCTCCTCATGCTGTTGGAGTGACAGCACACCATGGTCGTGCTGTGAGGAGCCATTCAGGCCTCGCGGCCTCCACGGCACAGGCGTGAAAATCGGCTACATTTAATCAGCCACGGTGGAGGATTTAAAGAAAGGGATCAAGAGAGCTTTGTCTTAATGGATTGGCTACAGTTTAGGGATCCAGTACACAGAGTTATACCTAGTTAAAAGCACCACTTGCTAACAATATAACTCAAACCACATGGCACTTCCCTGAAACTTACTTGGCTTGGATCTTTATTTCACATTACGAAATGCAAAATATGTTTGTCCTCGAGTATTTTTCTGTGTTATGCCTCGGCATTAGAGAGCCGATCTTGATTGATTCTTCACTTCATCATTTTATTCATATTCAAAAAAACAGAAAATTAGGGAATAAGTCAGCTTTTGTGTATTTGGAAGTACATCAAATGACCCACACATACAGTGGGACAATTCTTTCCGTCTGTCTGTACATTAAAATTTCAAGCTTACGGCCATGGCAATTTTTACCAATACAGTGAGGCCATACAAAACAGGCGACATTCAGAAAAGGGCCAGTGCAGTCAAACACAGCACTAAATCAAGTGGCTTGACACATGCCAGTTTGCCACAGCGCCTGAATGGAAAAGGAAAGTTGTGGAGGCGTTGGGGTGATCGGCATTGCTCAGCTACTGCACAAGAGGCCTTTTCAGACCGCTGCAACACTGATTACATTGTGTGAAGGCCAGTCAAAGGGGAAAATGACGAGAGCAGTCATGCTGGACACACACAATGCACAAATGGCAGCGGTCAGATGGTGGAGGAGAGAGATTTTAGAAACGCATTTTGGGAGACGGGGTCAGACGTATGGGGAAACTCTCAGTACATCACGGAGAGGCACGTAAACAACTTAATATCTGAGTTAGTTTGATTCCAGAAGTGAGGTAAAATATCACAGCTTCTAATGGTTTACAAGTACAGGGATAAAACAGAGCGGTCCTGTGTCCTAAATGTTCGTGTCCTATTATGTTAGATTTTTAAGATTTACATAAACAGACAAAACGCGTTTTAATTGTTCTAAAAAACAGATTAAAGGTGCTTTAAGTTTTGTAGCAATTTGGGAAAGAAATACTGAGGATCTTCTGAGTGTATCCTCTTAGAAACGCCACCTAAAACACATTGAACAGCTGAAGTTGTTTGTCGGTCTTTTGACTAACTATATCTGAACTTCCCTTATTTCCTCCTCAGAGACATTTAACGGGTGAATTCACCCAAATTACAAGTTTACCTTGAGTGGTTTCTAGCCATGAATATAGTTTTTGTTTTATTTGAGATGAAGGCATAAGTACACTTCAAACGAAGTACTTGTCGGATGATCAAACAGCATTTGAAACCTTCTCCGCTCCCACACCTTTCCGCCAGACCAGTTTTAACTTGTAACTTGTAACTTTTGTAATGAAACCGTCAATCTGACAAGCCTGCCCACTTCCTGTAGTAATTAGCCAGATGTGTGGATGTGACAAATGTGCGTAAGATTAATACTTCTTCAAGCTCTCATCTTTCAGTCTTCACACAACTTTTTATGACACAATGCATGTTTACAACAGAGTACCACACCATGAATGTCCGAAAGTGTGCGCTGTTATCTCCATTTATATGATTCATCTTGTCTTGCCCCACTTTGTGATTACAGGTTATTTTAGCCTCATTCAGAACAAGTAGAAGCACTTTTGCTTCTAGATGTGGACAGACGGCACTGGTTCGTTTTTAAGATGACTCTGGCCTTCATCTCTGAGATTACTGCCACCACCCCAATGAAATGGTATATGAATGAAATTTGAAATGTGTGGTGCTCACAGCATTGAACCATGGCATTCAAAACATTCAACTGGAGTCTGTCTTTCCAGTAACAAATGTATTGTTAACCAACAGACCTCAATATGAACAGCTTTCATTAGAATACTTTCTAATGAAAGCTGTCCAAGAGTGTTCCGTTACAGGGACACACGATTTGATAATGGAGAAGTTACTTCTTCCACTCGCCTCCATTGTATTTCTATTGATCTCAAATATTTCAAAACTTGGGCAAATAAAACCAAAACTAAAAACACAACCAAATACCACAAGATGAAAGATTTGAGGGAGAATTTTGGTCAATATTTCTATTTGAAGTCTGAAATAAAATGTGTAGAGCTCTGAATCTGAATGAAAGCTGAGCCAACACAAATTGATCAAATGTGTCAAACAACCGTCACTGCCAATAACGAGGAACTTACATCAGTTACACGAGATTATCAGGTCATATTTTCTTACTGCCGCATCACAGCCTTTTGGGACGGTAGTTGAGATGGAGATTTTGAGGCAGGTGAGAGTCCAAACACAAGAAATGTTATTTAAAGAGACGGAAAAGCACAAACAGACACCACATAAAAACAGAGTCAGGGGGCAAATGACAGAAACACATGGCTGTGACCCTCTCTTTGACTCTCTATCCCGTCTCTTCCTCCCTGTTGATGAGGACAATGATGAGGATTGTGAAGATGATGACGGTAATGATAACAAGTTCTGTGTGCATGATGTGCATTTCTATGTGTACGAACGTATATTTAGAACTTCCATGACATGGCCAGGGATCATGAAAGAGTGCAAACGAGTCATTGATGGATCGGATGGAGCAGTCTAAACGTGAGGCTTGACCTCCCTGCCCCCCCTTCTTACTCCACGGCTGTTTGAGCAGAGCGTTCGGATCAGGACAGAATCTCAGGCCTTAATGGAGGCAACTCATTTCTGGTCCGTATCTTTGATGCTGTGCCCGTTAACAATGCGTCCTTTCTGCGACTGGGTAAGAATTGTCCAGCAGGGTTCCTGCGAGAGGGGAAAATGAACGGGGGATTAGCCGGACTAATGGCCCCAACTTGTCGTTGATGTTAATTAGCATTAATAAGGACCCCCTTCTTTTAGCGGGTTGGATTGAAAGGCGGAGGCGAGCTGCTGGTGTTTTTGCAAATGTCCTGGCTCATGTTTGTGCACACAAATTCTCAGGCACGCGTTTTCGCACTCGCACGCACAAGCCAGGGCACTTTCTCGTTAATTTCAGCATCTCGTTGGTGCTCGCACTCGTCCGCTGATGGCTTCCTTCTGTTTGTTCTGTGCTCGTTGTCAGAGGCCATTTCCTCTCGCCACAATGACTCCCTTTCACTGGGTTTGATCTTTGTAGCTATTCAGCCTCCTCATTTCCAGTGGTCAAGAGAAGAAACCACCATTCCCCTCCCCCTCCCCCATGCGCGTGTTTGCAGATGTACACAAACACAGAGAGGGAATGATCAGTGTGACCAGCGAAGCCGGGAATCGACCCTGATCTCCACTTAGCCAGTCGCCCCCCATTTAATGTCTCTCTGTAGGGCGTAGGTTTGCATATGGGCGTACCAAGTTCTCTAATACGCCCTCGAGCCTGCGAGACAAGATGCTGTCATCTAATTGGCTGAAGTGGCAGAGTCAGAAACACTCCGTGGATCGTGACTTGCAGAAAGAGAGCTGGCAGCAGTCTGACACGGACCTGAAGCCAGGAGTTGTAGACAGCGTACCAAGTGGAGACAAACAGACGTCGGAGGTAAAGTTGAATATTTTTACTGCTGCCAAGACTCCAGATTCTTTTCACAGCAAAGCCTCAAATATTAGTAGACGGTGTATCGGATTATCTAATTAAATGCATGAATCTTATTTCACACCTCACTGGCACCTTTAAAAGGTACTCGAAGACACTTTACATGATAAAAACATAAACAATATAAGCAATTACAATATAAACAAGATAATGTTCTATATATCTTAACGAAATGAAATGAAGGATTAATTAAATGATTGAGCAACTCTGGGACTTCCTCTTACAGACAGACAAAGAAATAATTAGAAACCATACGGATATTAGATTAAAAAAATACAGAGCAGAAAATGAAAGAAGTGAAAGATGTATCCGCCCCAATTTACCACAACATCAAGAAGAAGAGCTTGAGACCAGACGACTGCAGAGGACAACAGCGATCTCAGCGTTCATCTCTGTAGTGTTCAGTAAATGCTGTTACACATGTTTGTTAATCAATAACCCAGTTGAATAAAGTTCTGCTTCGCCTTGAATAAACTAAAGACAGAGGTGGGTGTGGCTCATATTAAGAGATGAAAGCAAAACCAAACTTAACGCAGTGAATTGTACATATTGAAGTTTGGTCACACAAGGTTATTCACTCAGTGCTATTTATTAATAGTATTTCAGTTTGTTTCATAATTATCATTTTATTAACATTTTGTCTCCACAGGTAATATCTGAAGACAGTTGTAGACAGCGTACCAAGCGGAGACAAACGGATGTCGGAACTAAGGTAAAGTTTGAATATTTTTGCTGCAGCAAAACCTCAAATTAGTTTGTGGCTTGTGTGTGTAAACCATATGGTACAAACAATGAATAGACGCTGCCGTATTTACGTCTAGATGACGTGATTCTGAGTGTTGGTGGAGCTGCTACAATGTTAGCATAGCCTAGCACCGACCCATCCAAGCTCCATTGATAAGACAAGTAGCCTACAAATCGGCATCATTACGTAGTTATTTCGGAGTCCCTTTTTGTCGGTTTATTGCCGTTAAATCACAGCCAAATCAGTGTATTTTGTGTTCATACAGCTGTAGTAAACAGCGCCCTGTGGCTTGATAGACACAGTGAATACACTTCGATAAAATCCACAGAGCTCCTCTGGACAATGTTATGAACCAGACATGACGGCGTTTAGTTTCCCGGGATATCTGTGACTTCCACAACACGTACTAAGCAGAAATTGAGGTTATTTTTTCCATGGTTAATGGCGGACAGTTGAACGGCTGCCACGCCCCCTCTCCGGCGCGTCCAGCGCGAATGAACAAAAATAGTCCCTGGCAAGACCGGCAGCGCGAATTTTTTAATTTTTTAAAATTTTATTTAATTTAATTATACTATATTGATCCCGGAAGGGGAAATTTGTCCCTGCATTTGACCCATCCCAGTATATAGGGAGCAGTGTGGTGCAATGATGTGGCGAATGATTCGCGCCACGTTTGGTGTGAACCCGGCATTAGGTCGTACTGATTTCTCTGCCTCCGCCATGTGTTTCAGAACAACATTACGGGTCTCTCCGATGGTCTTTCCTCTACCTCTGCTCTTTTTTATTTTTTTGTTCCGCGCTCAACTCAACTTTTTTTTTTTTATACTCAAACATCTCCGCGATTTATTGAGTGGCGTAATAATCGCGCGACACAATGAATCGATAATGAAATTCGTTGCCAACTCTTTTAATAATCGAATTTTATCAATTCGTTGTTGCAGCCCTAGTTCTCCACACATACACCTACCTTTTTATGAGGGCTTTGATTCAGTCAAAATCAAATGCATATTAAAGATGTGTTATTTGTTATATGTCACAATAGACATTTACATACATGAAGTGTTTTTATTTGCACTTAATGCAGATAAAATATAAATAATTATTTAATCATAATAATCACTTAATGAACTATTGTCCTGCAGTCAGTTGTCAAGTAACTTTATACCCTCCCTCATGGGCGGATTATGAGACAATATGGCCCTTCTACATAGGAGCAAGACACACGGACTTCATGATTGTTTAGCCTCTTTTTCTTGTTGTGTTGATGTTTCTTTGTGGTCATTTTGAGTCTTCCTGTTTGGTTTAGTGTCTGTAGCGGACCCCAGCCGGATAATGGTGACGCGTACTGATGTTTCCAGAGGCCTTTATTCATGTTCAATCGTCATCCTTATTTTGATGAACACAAATTTACCTTTCTCTCCTTATGACCTTTCTCCAGAAGACACCGTAAGAGCTACAGAACAGATCAAACATAAATGAGCTCTTACGAGTTTAAACATTCAGAAAATGACATTTAAATATACATGTGAGCATTAATCAAACACTTTCTTTCATGTATACTTCTCAAAAGCATATGTTAAACCAAAATCTAGCATTAGCTTGTAATTACAGTTTAGTCATTTAGCTATACCTGTTAAGCTAACATCAGCATCTAGTTGAAACAGTAATATATCAAACACACAATGAACACAATAAACACAATACCTTGTTCCCGTTCCAGCTAGGTGCTTAGCCGTTAATTAGGAAACTCTTATTTCAGAAGAATATATTTTATTTTAACACTTTTCCTTCAGTCTCCACAGTCAATTTTCGTAATTTTCTTTATGCGAAGTCAAGTTACAATACTCTGACTTACAAAATACACTTACAAAATAAAAGCTAGCAGGAAGTGATTAACTTAGGTAACTTGCAAAGTAAAAGGTTTGTAGGAAATATTCACAGAACCTCTTAAGAGTCCTTTACAGTGTCTTTTTGAGTAGCATTTTGTATGTGAAGGCCAGTGAGGCCCATTCAGTAATCCATCTGCCCTCCTTTAAACAAAAAGACCCTCCCCCTTTCCCCTAACTGAGATTAGTCTACATGTTACAGAGAGAACCTGCAGAGGGCTTTGTGCCAGTACATCAAAGATACCCTCAGCCATATTGACACAGTGATAGGATTCTGTGAGAGTCTCTCTATATGGACGGATGCAAGGAAGACAGAGCGGACAAAGATGAGAAAAGTCACCGATCAACAAGAGCTGTCTGCTGTGCTGGAGGACACTCGGGGAGGTCTGGAGAAGCTCGACTGCTTCCTGGATGCAGTGGAGAATCTGGCGGTCACCTCACTCCATGTGTTCACGGTGGAGAACCCGGTGTTACATCTGCCAGAAGGGATCAGACCTGAACATGTTTGGGGTGTCATCTTTGCTGCACGTATAATCTGCCCTCTCCTCCTCGAGTTTAAAAGAGATGCAAGTGTCTTCCTTCCCAAACTTGAGAATGTGGAAGTGCTGTCATATCAGCTGAACAAATACATTCAGACCACCCAGAACATCTGTACGACGTTAAAGAAAAGGTAAAGAGACATTTCACCAACAACACATTTTGTTTTCATATTTATATTTCAATTTATAGCAACCGTGTCTTTCACAGCTTCCTCAGTGACTTTTGCCTGAAGATGAATGACGAAACGCTGGTGGACCTCGATGTGGATTTGTCAGAAGATGAAATGCAAAGAATGCTTTGTCACATTAATCAGCTCAAGGAAATCCGGTAAGCATCTCCCATGTATAGGTTGGTTCTATTCAAGTTTTTCGCCAAAACTAAATTTTACAAGATTACATTTTATCACATCATGATAACATCATAATTTACCTTCGTCCAATACTAATTTTTTTCTGAATGGAGCATGAACGCACCATAATTGAACTAAAAGGAACCTCAGTATGTTATAATAACAGGTGATTACTGTTGCTGCAAACGTTACTCGCTCTCCTCCCTATTCTAGATGAAACCCTTGGAATATAAAAGGGTTCTCAGTAGAACCCCCTGAATGGGTTCTGAACACCACCATGGACACATTTGAAACTTATTTGTGATAACAGCAAACATAATCCACAACTAAATACATTTCCCTTAAAACATCAGTCACACCACAGTTTCTTTGTATGGGGAAGTCATTTTTAGGAGACCAGGCTAGTCTGAAAGGGTTCCAGTGGGAACCTTTATAAAAGGTTCTACCAGGAACCAAACAGGGTTCTCCTATGAGGACAAATCAAAGAGCCCTTAGCACCTTCACTTTTCAGACTGTGGCATCATAGGTATAGACCACAACTGTAGTCGTAGTCTGAGCATTAACTGTGCAGCTGCAGCTGTGTGCTCACAGCCAGTGAATGTATACTGGTGGAGCTCAGCCTGTTGAAAGGAGTAATGAGCAATGAGCCATGAATGTCTGGTCAAAATGTCAAATCCGAAAATATCAACCTGTTGCTGGCGCTAAAGGAACAGTCAGAGGATCACCAAAGTCATAACGATTCATCCACTGGAGACCATGAACATCTTTACCGAATGTCATGACAATCCATCCAATAGTTGTGGAGGACCGGTCGACTGACCGGCCAACATTGCCATCCACAGACCCGTGCTGCTAGCAATAAACACTAACACAGGTGTAGTATGTTGTAGTTCAGACCACAGTGATGATATGGAGTTGTACTCAAACACAGAATATTTTCATATTGATAACTTTGTAGCGAACCAGTGTACGTGCACACTAACGTGAATCTAGACAAGGGGTCTCCCAGTAGTTTTCATCCTCCAACTTTGATACTGACATCATGTCAGTCTGCAACAAGTTCAGTGTAGTTACTTAAAAAATACAAGCTGGTGCAACATCATCAATGTCTTTTGAAGAGAGACTGAAAAGTAAAAAAATTACCAAATATCAATGATTTGTTAAAGGCGTTTATTTATATATATATAAGCTATTCTTTCGAAAATCTATACATTTTCTTTTTTATGTTGTGTCTCTCCTCTTCCCCAGGGACTACCAGCCCTTCCGCATGGTGTTCTTGTTCCAGGAAGTGTCATGTTCTGACTTCATCAGTGAGTTCAACAAGCGAAGGCCCAGGATGCTTCAGTCTCTGGAAGACCTGGAGGAGAATGCTGTTCAGCTAGACAGGATGAATAAGGGGGCAAAGATCTCTAGTGTGGCAGGCAGCTCAGTGGGGGCAGCTGGAAGTGTGCTTGCCATCGCTGGTTTGGTATTAATTCCTGTAACAGCTGGTCTTTCTCTAGTTCTGACAATGACTGGGATGGGGATGGGAATTACCAGCGGAGTCAACGGTGCGGTCACCACTGCCACAGAGATTGGCGTAAACTGTAAACATCAAAACAAAGCCAGTGAGATCTTCCAGAGCTTCATGGAGGATGTGCAGAGCATCCAGGATTGTCTGAGAGAGGTGTCCTTTCAACCAGCTCTTAACAGTCAATTGAAAGCAGAATATGACAAGGTATTCTCTCAGCTGGGGCCAGTTGCACATGGCATTAATTCACTTATTACAGAAATCTCTGCTTTAAAGTCACTGCAGAAAGCAAAAGCACTACGTAGCATTTCCAGGGTGTCGTCAGAAATACCATATATTGGTCAGGCAGTAGTCAAGGGGTCCCTTGCCCTCTCAAACACAGCCAGGAAATTTAACATTGGGCTCAATGCTCTCTTCCTTGGCATGGATATCTTCTTCATCATTAAAGACAGCATCAGTCTGGCCAAAGGCAGCGAGACTGAAGTCTCAC